TTAAGCATTTTGGAAAAATTCTGGCAACACTCATTAATACAAAAACAGACATAGCCTAAATACATACTCAACTCTACTCCTATAGATCCAGTCAAGAGAGATGCATACATATGTCTACCGAAAGATGGGTGCATATGTATGTTCACAGCCGTACTAAATCTTTGTAATCATTAAAACTTGGAAATCAACCAGGTATCTACTCACAGCAGAATGGACTAATAAACCGTGGGAAAACAATACTGTACAGCAGAGAGGAAAAATCAATCTCTAACCACTCACAACAATGTGGGTGTATCTCACATACAAAGTACTGAATGAAATCAGACACACAAAAATCATTGTGTGAAACATTGTTCCACCTCCTACTTTGGTGAGTAGCGACTGGGATCTTAAAAGCTAGCAAGCTGCCATCTAGATGCAACAATGGGTCTCTCCTCGTCAAGAAGAAGAAAATCAAAATTAATGGAAACAATCAGTCCTACGACTGGTACACCATCCGATCTGCAACCTATACAAATATGAGACCAGAAGAACTAGATGGTGCCCGGCTACCACTGTCATCCACTTGGAAGGGATGTAGGAGATCCTGGATAGAGAGGGAGAACAATGTGGAACAAAACTCAAAATCATTTGGAGGGGGAAAAAAAAAAAAGAAGGTGGGGACCAGGTTTGCTGGTCCAATAGAGCCTGGTGGAACCACTGAGACTAAAGCCCCTAGCTGCCCTGCAGGTCTGGAATTGAAGCCACACCTGTGGTTTCCAGCCAAACAAAGTACAGGCATGTGAATTAAACATTTACCTCAAGTAGACACACACCCTGGAGAGAACAATCATGGGAGAAAGAAGGGCTGCTTATGCACAGGGAGACAGCTCAGGGCGCAGAAGAGTATGGAGGGATGGACACTGGGAAGAGGTAACTATGGGGAGGAAGTGGGAGGGGAGCTGTTGCATTGTAAATTTTGGTCAATGACATGAGACAAAGTATATTATGTGAACTGCTGTATGAAAAGTGAATTTACACTGTAAATCTTCACCCAAATTAAAATCAAATTAAAAAAAAAAAAAATCGTTGTGTGATTCCCTCTAGACAACATTTTAAAAAACTGTCACAACTAGTCTACAGAAGTAGGGACAGTTATCACCCATGGGAGGGGAGGGAATTAGGAAGAATATGATGGGGGCTTCTGGGTGCTGGTTACACAGGTAAAGTCTTTTAAGAGTCATCAAACTTGTAGAGAGACTGAGACTCTCATACATTGCTGGTATGACAGTAAAATGATACAACCACTGTGGAAAGCAGTATGGCAATTCCTTAAAAAGCTAAAATTAGAAATACCTTTTGACCGAGCAATCCCATTATTAAGTATATATCCTAAAGAAGTGAGAGCCAGGACACAACAAACAGCTATATGCACACCCATGTTCATCACAGCACTATTTACAATAGCAAAAAGAGGGCAACAACCTAGGTGCCAATCATCAGAAGAATGGATAACCAAACTATGGTACATACACACAACAGAATACTATGCAACACTAAAGAATAATGCAGAATCTGCAAAACACCGCATGGATGTATTTGGAGGACAATATGCCGAGTAAAATTAGTCAATCACACAAGGAAAAATACAGCATTAGTTCATTATTGTAAAAAGTCAAGGAAAAATTTATGTATAGAAGGACACTTTCTCTATTGGTTACCAGGGGTGGGAGGGGAGCAGAGGGAACACTGCAAAAAAAAAAAAAAAAGCACTGACTCATGTCACTTTAGTTTTGTGTATTTCACTGTACATAAACTATATTTCAATAACATATATATATATATTTTAAAAAGAGCCATCAAACTACATACTTATGATTTGTATGTTTTTCCATATGTACATTCTATTTTGATAAAAAAATAATAGACTATCTTGTCACAGATTTAAAAAAAAAATACTCTCATCAATTTGATCCTTTCCTTTACAAATTCACTTTACAAAAGGCTATTTCTGTGACAAAGCAAAAAGACAGATGACCTATCTCTCTTCTAAATGTTATTATTATTATTTTATGAACTTCAGTTTACTGGCACAGCTTCATTAAGAGAACAGCTATGTCTGAGTTGGCTTAAGTCTCCTCTTAGTCTTTTTTCACGGGAGGTGGTATCATGCATCAGCCTTGCCTTGGAATTGGATGGAGCTCAATGTGAATCCTGACTCCACCAAGTAAGCCAGGCTATGAGGCCTTGCCCTGCTTCAGTCCACTCTAAAGTGAAGAGAATGAGATGCAAGTGAAGCCAAGTAGGTGGAAGGTCTGGCATAAAAACATCTGCTATAACCAGGATGTAACGTAGGGAAGAAGGCAGAAGCATCTCTGCCCATCTTTTACAAGTTAAACGCAGATGCTGAAATTTCACAGGTCTTTGTGACTGGTTCCTATGGATGGTGATGTTTTAACATCATCACAAACCAAAACACAAGTAGCCACAGTGAACTTTCCCCTGAACATGTATTCCAATAGCTTCAGGAACTGAATTTTGTTATAACTACTGTTTCTGTATGATTGGCATTCTGTTAAGCATTTGCATCTTTTGAAAGCTTAACTTTGGAAAAAATGAGACCTCATGCAGAGAATTTAAGATCATTTCAACTGGACAGAGAGAAGAATCGAGGAAAAAAGTGTCCTATGCCCTGAGCACTTGACTGTTAACCAGGAGGCTGGTGGTTCAAACCCACCAGCCACTCCTTGGAAGGAAGATGGGGCAATCTACTTCCGCAGTGATACTGCCTCAGCAACCCAAGAAGGGGTTGCTATGAGTTGGGTCCGACTCGACAGCACATAACAACATGACCTGAGCATGACACATTTCTAAGACTATATCCAAAACACCATTTACATCAGTTGGCAAATTCAGTGATGGTAGTAAAATCAACTACAAGTTAATAGCTTTTTCTATGTGTGTGTGAGAAAACAAATGTGTCCAGTCAAAGCCAACCCAGCCCAGTTTTGGACCAAAACCACTAAAAACCATTATCTAAAAGATTTTGGGTAGCAAATAAAAGACTTATGTGATAGTACAAGTCATAGATTGTAGTTTTATATTCAAGATGATTTCCTTAGGCAACAACACACAGTTATTTCCATGAGGAGATTTATATGAAAAATCTGTTCCTTGAAGGCTTCCAAAGCTTTCCCTATAGTTGTCTTAGCTTGCTTCTATGTGCTTTGGCCAGAGAATCTGCATTTCATTTCAAGAAGCAACAAGCTTTGGTTCTGCCTTGGCACCTGGTATATTAAACCATTCTTCCTATAGATTAACAAATCATAAAAAATCTTATAGGATAAGAACAACATAGTAAGCAGTTAGTACATACCTCTAACATATTGTCCTATAAAAAGAGGATTGTAGCACCACCCCCCTGGCCAAAAAAAAGTTGAATTAATGGTATATTTTAGGTTTTGTTGATGTTGGTAGTTAAGTCTAAAAGAATTATAAGCTTAATTTTCAAATTGGTTAAAATGTGAATAGAAGCCCATTTGAAAGAGCTTCTATGAGCTAATGATAGGACAACCTGAGCATCAAAAAGAACGTCTGCACTAAATGGAAACACATCAAATATGCAAAAATATATAAATTCACCCGTGGAGACTGGGGGATAACAACTCATTATTCAGGTAATTGATAAATACAGGGAAAGCGGCAGCATTTATTCAGTCTTTTCTGTATGGACTGATTTTTAGGATAGATGATTGATAAAGTTTTTTTTTTTTACCCAACAGGAGATTTTATTACGTAGGTAAAAGGGTGCCTGCACTGAGGAAGGACAGAGAAGAAGAGGAGGAGGAAGAAGAGGAGAAGAAGAAGAAGAGAAGAAGAAAGAAAGAAGAAGAAGGGAAGAAGAGAAGAAGAGAGAGGAAGAAGAGGAAGAGGAAGAGCAGGAAGAGGGTGGTCTTATATAGACCTGGGGTTAGGAGGTTGTACATCAGAGCTGGGGGAAGAGGTCTTAACCTATCAGAGGCTATGTTGCCTTTTAAAATTCGCGCCTTGCAGGAAGCTCAGTTTCGACTTCCTTTAACTGACTTATGACCTTGGGCGGGGCAGCAGGGAATAAGAAGAACCCGGAAGAGCCATGCAAGATGGCGTGGCATATGATGAAGTTTTTTCTTTTTCAAATTACTGCCAAAATATGTGAAAGGAAGAATAAATTTTGAAAAATCACCATTCTGCAATACCTAATGAAATAAGCGATCTAGACACCAGTTATTAATGGCAGGTAAAATCATGAGGTGACATCTGATGGGCAATTACGTAACGTAATACAACCAGAACTAATGAGCCACCTCAGTATCAGAAAAAAGGACAACCAACTTTACAAATACAAATGCCTGCCAACAAAAATGAACCAGAAACTGACGACATCCAGAACAAGCCTCTGGCTTATGGGAAACAAGGGAGGGGGGAGTTGGAGAGGAGGCCATGTGAAATGACATAATGCACCTAGAGTATACAATCAGGCAGAGCCAGTGAGGGGGATTTTGATCTATTCAAAACATAAATGGTATTTTAAAAAGGAAAGAAAAAGATGGGGGAACTATTGTGACACATTACAACAGACTGAAGAGATGTACTGACAAATGTAATGTGTGGATTTCATTTGAATATTCATTCAAACCAATCAAACATTCAAAGATATTTAACTGATGGTTAGGTTACATTAAAGAATAAGATGCTCGTCTATTAAGGATACATTTTGAAGTCTATCCCTTTCCCCAAAATGAGGATGGACAAGAGTGGCAAAAATGTCAATTCTGAACTCAGGTGATAGGTATATGGGGGATTAGACTGACTGACTCAAGCAAGGGATACTGTGGGAGGAAAACATGGCAGGCTTACATGGTGATGGCTAACATCAGAAGAGAGTTGACATTTTGCACAGTTGTAGTCAGAAAACACCCTCTGATGCTCTGTGCCTCAGGGACAACCACAAGCCTTACCCATGAGCAGAGCCGCCTTCTTACCTGGCTGGGGTGGATGAGGTGGTGGCATCTGGTGGTGCATCAGAGGATAAGGAGGGGGCTGCTGATGAGGCATCATGCTAGGGTGCCCAGCCGCTCCAAGTGGGGCCAGGCCAGGTCCTCCTGAGTGCTGGTGTGCCGCCTGAGGGTTCTGCCCGTGCTGCTGCTGTTCCATTTGCTGTCGGGCTCGTAATTCAGCATATTTCAGCTGTTCCATGTGGAAGTTCTGGCGTTCAGTAAGCAATTGCTGCCTCTGTTGTTCTAGCTATAAGAAACATATAGGAAAGAGAAATGATACTGGGATAGAGAATTGGATGATACAAAAAACTCCCTGATGTCTGAATTCCCTCTGAATTATCACAGCTAGATAGCCAAATTGTCTCCTGCAGTATTTACTATGAGAGAGAGGCATTATTTCTTTACTGTTCCCATTTGGACATCTGTTAACACGGTCAAGGTCTTCTCTATGTAGAATCTAAGGTTTGTCTTTCTTTGTAGCCTTTATCAGTAGGTCTTTTGCCTTCTGGGCCCACTCAGGACTTATGTAATCAATCCTCTGTCTAGTTGGCATTCCTGCAAATATTTAAGAATAGTTCCATGACCCCCATCTGCTCCCCAGGTTAAGCAAGCTTCTCTTGTCATATTTCAAGTTCCCTCAACCTTCCCAGGTGCTCTCTTCTGGCAGTGATCCTTTGGTTACCCTCTACTTTAGAATGTGACATTACAGTTATACCTTCTCAATGTACGATGTGGCCTCAGCTGCAAAGACATACACATTTCTCTGTGTGGAACTTTGGCAGTGTCACTGCAAACCTTAGCTTTCAAGTATCCAAAATTATATGGGGTGACCCACGCACAGAGTATTTGAGATACCTAAATAAAAATGTACGTAAATCTTGACTTGAAGAATATAAGCATTTTGGTATCAAAGATCATCTTTCTGGGATTAAAATTAAAAAATAAAGATAAATGAATTATCAAACATGGCAAGAAATTAGAAAACCATATACCTAACTACAGGAGCCCCTGAGTGGCACAAATGGTTAAGTGTTCCATTATCAGCCAAAAGGTAGGTGGTTTGGACTCACCCACAGGCACACTGAAAACAAGCCTGGTGATCTACTTCCCAAAGGTCACGGGCTTGAAAACCCTATGTAGTAGTTCTACTCTGCACACATGGGGTCACCATCAGTTGGAATTGACTTAATGGCTGAGAGAACGGAGCCCAATCTAAATGCTACCAACATTAATTTAATTTAATTCAGGGCTGAAGAAGAAAAATCAAACATGAAGGAAAATAAAAATCCAGATCTCTGGAAATAAACAGTATAAAGATCCTAAGGAAGATTAATAGAACTGTGTCTTTTCAATGATCTCTCCATCCCAGGATGTTCCACAGCGTGACTTGAGCCACTACAAAGCATTTTCTAGAGCTATACTGTCCAGTACAGCAGTAGTCTAAAGTGAGATGTGCTGTAAGTATAAAATATACACTGAATTTTGAATACTTCATAGAAAAAAAAACCCTCAATTTTTTAATAGTGATTAATGTAAAAATATTTTCTATATACTGGGTTAAATAAAACATTACAATGTCATCTGTTTAATTTCTTTAACTGTGGCTACTAAGAATTTGTAAATTATATATAATGGTTCACATTATACAGGACAGCACAATTCTAAGGCATATAATAGCAGATTTGGGAATAGCTAGTTCTATACACAAACACTATACAGGCATACCCCGTTTTACTGCACTTCGCAGGTATCAAATGGTACCAATTTTTCAACAGCATGTGCTCAGCTCACTGTGTGTCTGTCTCTGTGTCACACTGTAGTAATCCTTACAATATCTCAAACTACAGTATAATGTAAACATAACTTTTCTATGTAGCAGGAAACAAAAAAAAATTCACGTGATTTACTTTATGATGATTCTCACACTATTGTGGTGGTCTGGAACTGAACCTGCAACATCTCCAAGGTAGCACAGTGCTTAAATGCTCGGCTGCCAACTAAAAGACTGGTGGTTTGAACCTACTAGCCATTTTGCAGGAGAAAGATGTGGCAGTCTGCTTCTGTAAAGATCATAATCTTGGAAACCCTATGTTGTTGCTGTTGTTATGTGCCATCGAGTCAGACCGACACATAGCAACTCCTCCTTGGGTTTCCAAGGCAGTATCACTACGGAAGTAGATTGCCCCACCTTCCTTCTGAGGAGTGGCTGGTAGGTTTGAACCACCAGCCTTCTGGTTAGCAGTCAAGTGACTACGGCACTACACTACCAGAACTCCTTATGGGGCAGCTTTGTTCTGTTCTATAGGATCTCTATGAGTCAGAATTAGACTCAGTGGCAAAGTGTTCTTTTGGTTTAATCATTCTTTTAGGAAATTTAGGACTTCATGATAATTTGCTGAGGCTAGTACACCTAAGAGGCTGCCAGAAATGGATCTACGTATGTGCTTGCTGAGCCACCATTGGTCCAGACAGGTTGGCTGAAGTCCTGCAGTTATGTAAGAAACAAAAAATTTAGGTCAAGATTTCTTTATAAAGAAGCTGTTACCAGAGAGAAATTTCTTTGTCTCTGAAGGGAAACTTTGGTCTCTGCGTTATCTAGCTTAGTGCAGTTTGTTTTGTTTTTAAACTGAACTAGTGTTTCTTTTGGGGCTAACCTTGGATAGAAAAAGCAGAATCCATCGTTAAGAGGATGGGAAAACCAGTTGGGAAGAAAAAAGTTGCTAATTTTTCCTTGTCTACAGCATGAAATAACCTCAATTATCCAATTTACACCTAAACTTCATCAATTTAAAAAGGGAAAGTAATTAAAAGAATTAAAAAGTGATTAAATCACACACACACATGCACGTGTATGCACGCACCTGAAAGAGAGCCCACTTTAAGCCTAAAGCTCCAATGGGGGATCAGCAGGTCTTCTGAGGTGAGAGCGACACTGACACGGGAGGCAATAGGTTGGCCCAGGAGAGTAGGTCTCTGCTCCAGAGCAGATGAAGAACTTACAGCCCTGACCTGGCCTCATGATGCAAAGGCAATCAATCACCTCTCTTGTTCCAGACAACTTATTTTTAAAAAAATTTCAGTTACAAACAGCATTTACTTTTTGTAGAGTCAGAAAAATGCAAACTGGGAGTTTCTGAGGCAGATTTGGTAATACTGAGCAAATTTTAAATGCTCTTAACCACTGACCCAGTGATTCTACTTCTGGGAATCTGTCCTAGAAAAATGCAGAGTTTTGTCTGAAATACACTCTATTTCCTAGGATTATGGGTATAGTCCCAACAGCTAAAATGCAATGATGTAAATTACTAATGTAAATAGGTTGTTAATGTGTTAACTTTCCAAGGCTCCAATCTGGTTGTAGGGAACCCACTTCATACAAGGCTGTCTGTAGTCCTGTCCTGAAGTCATATCCCCCGCTGTATTCATTCCTGCCTTCCTCTCCCCCTGCACTGCTATGCTGTGTGTGTACAAAGCAACTGTATCCGAGCGGAACCTGAACACAACAGAGCACTCTTCTACACCAAGACACTAGATGCAGACACAGCTGCAAGTGCAGCTGAAGTCAACACAAAGCTCTTCTCCCAACTTCTATTTGCACAAAGAAGGGAGGAGGGGTGGGAAAGAGTAAGAATCAGTGGTGGCCACAGAAATCTATCTACACAGCCAAGGATTGAAATGTCAGCTGACACCTGAGTCTCTGACTAGGACAAGTTGGCTTGAAAACTGAAGAAAATGATCACATTTTTCTTTAAGTGTTCGCTAGAAATTCTTTTAAGGGGGGAGGAACGCAGGATTTGAATGCAGGTGTGGGTGTGAGAGAGAGAGAGAAAGGGAAAGAACGAGAGAGAGAGAAAGAGAAAGAGAGGGAGAGCGGGAGAGAGAGAGAGAGAGAAAGAGAGAGACACACACACACAGACTGAGTGCAGGCTCTTAAGTGTTCATGCCTTTCTCTTCATATTTCTTACAAATTAGATCAATTCCCCCTCCATTAGGAAGCTTTTTCCTTGATCATCTCTGGAGTCAATTCCTTATAATACTTGAAAATTATAAGTGACCTCATAATATTTATTTTCTTTATTTGTCAATTTCATCTATCCTCTCATCTCCATAAGGTCAGGGTACTGGGTTTCTGTTTGAATTTCCTACAATGTCTCATTTTTTTCTGAAGGTACACAGTATCTATACCTTGTCAGTGACATTTAGAGACTTCAGGGGCTATATATACTGATCTATTCTCAATATTTTAAAAACAAACAAACAACAACAAAAAACAAACAAACAAACAAAGGGAATGTCTTATGCAGAGCCCAGACACTCTAGTTCTTTCCAGTTGGTTCCGGTCCCAAACACAGTCCATGCCTGAAACCTGCCCTTTTGCCTACTATCTGCCGGGCACTGAAGGGTGGTTGGCCTGGAAGATTCACTAAGTTGTGGGCCCAGTTCTTGTTCAGCATCCCCACATGAACTGAATACTTTTTATTATGCTCTCTTCCTAACAGATGCTTTAACTGACTTAAATTGCACTTTATAATTAATATGAGCAGGCTGGAACAAGAGCTACTGAACTTTAATTGTACTGAACTCGTAACACCTATGAGAGATTTTAAAATGTCTTCTTTTTAATTTATTTTTATTGTGGTGAAAACATACACAATAAGACATTCGTCAATAAAATAACTTCCGCATTTATAGTTCAGGGACATTGACTCCATTTTTCATGTTATGCCACTATTATTGCTATTTTTTCCCCCAAAATACCCTACCACTTATTAGCATAAACTCAATGCCCTGTAACAAAAGCTTCCCCTTTCCCTCCTCCCTCTGGTAACCACTAATCATCTTTAGTTTCTACACACATACACACACGTTATGTCTTTATTCTTAATTACTAAATAAGACTCAAGAAAACATTTAGTTTTAAGTCATTAGAGAAAAAAAGAAAGTTAATATCCAATTCAAAGAAACAAAGATTTTTGCAATTTACTGCTATATAAGCACCACCAAATGTTTAACTCAAAAAAAGGTGTTCTAAAGCTACTGGTTACGGGGTAAAGATGAGCAAGAGTGTACACTATAGTGACTTGAGGCTGGGTGGTAGGCAGAAACGCTCTAGGCAGCAAGTTAGGAGGCTATGGTCCTAGGTGACCTGCTCACGTCCCAGACTCTCAGCTTTCTTGATTCACAGTAAAAGAATAATGACTGAGCATCTAGAGTTTTTGGGTTAAAATGAGATAAATAATAGCTTAT